TGTGTGTGTGTGTGGCTGTGTGTGTGTGTCTGTGTGTGTGTGAGTCTCTGTGTGTGTGTGTCTCTGTGCGTGTGTGAGTCTGTGTGTGTGTGTGTATCTGTGTGTGTGTCTCTGTGCATGTCTGTGTGTGTCTGTGTGTGTGTCTGTGTGTTTGTGTGTCTCTGTGCATGTCTGTGTGTGTGTGTCTCTGTGTGTGTCTCTGTGTCTGTATGTGTCTGTGTGTCTCTGTGCATGTCTGTGTGTGTCTCTGTGTATGTCTCTGTGCATGTCTGTGTGTCTGTGTGTGTCTGTGTGTCTGTGTGTGTGTCTGTGTGTGTTTGTGTGTCTGTGTGTGTCTGTGTGTGTTGTGGAAACTTGCAGTTGTGTGGTGTGCATAAGGTGACTATTTCGGTAACCCATTTCGGATATATAGCAGTGCTATTACGGCCATTATATGTATAATTTTATCAATTTTTTTCTCTATTAAAATATGAAATTTAAAAAAAAAGAGCAGAGAATGATCCAAAAATGAAAAAGGGGATCCCAGCCTGTCGAATACCGTGTTTTCCCTGACAGACTTACCCGTGGTTCCCGTGGCTGAGTGTCCGTTTGCTCGTTTACAGAATGAAAGCAGTTTTGCTTCTCCTGTTGAGGATGTTGTGAGGATGGAATCAGACAGCGTACACTGAGGACCACCCCGTCTGTCGGCTGGCTTGCTGCGGTGCTTGCGTGTTCCCATGATGCTGGAAGCTACGCCAAGTACCAGCGGGGTCACCCAGGATCTTCCAGGCTAAGACAGACTAGGAAGAAAGACCTGGTGACCTACTTCCAAAAATTAGCCGATGGAAACCCTACGGATCACAGCAGAATACTGTTCAGTATAATGCTCAGGTTGAAAGGCACTCAAAATACACAGTGGCTGCCACCATGGACTTGAGTACGCCAATTATCGTGAAGTTGGCACAGAATCAGGCAGAATGTCAACATTTCCTTCTGTTTTACGGAGGGTCACCGCGAGTCACAGCTGACGCAATGGCACCGAACAACAGCATATTGAAGCACCACCTAAACTGCGAAATAATACATAAAAGTTAGCACTGTTATTATCATTAAATGTAAAGACTTTCCCAAGCCTCTCCCTGCCTTAAAAGGCAACAGTGGTCCCTTCCTGGCTGTGAATTAAGTAGAAATTTTCCATCAGGCACTTAGATTCAGCCTCAGTAGAACTCATTTTACCTTTGCAAAACTGCATTCTACTCTTGTATGATTCAAATCTACAAACCCAAACCCAGTTCCTTACCATCTCTCTAACTATGCCCAGATTTCCCTCACAGCTATTCTTTTTCCATTTTTTCCACCAGAATTTGTAATTATGTATATTTATTACTATACACCAGGCTTGTGGACACATTGTTGAACTAAGAGTGCTGGTTTCTGCACTTCTTGAGTTTACTTTGTAGTGAAAAATAAATAGTATCATATAGACAATTAGTGATACGTTGTCTTGTATTGTCATTTAATCATTTCCTGTTTGTATGTTCTTCACCAAAACACGGTAAGTTCTTCGTGGGAAGAGTCACATCTTGTATTTTTATATTTTTCACTGCAGTCAGTAGCCGTTCATTTGTTCAATAAGTGCCGAATATCTAATAACATGTTAGACCTTGGGGGTAAAATAATGAACAAGACAAAAATGATTTTTTTTCCTCTAGTGAAGCTAACTAGAGTAAGAAATTCAAATGACTAAACAGTCAATAATAAAACAGAGACTGAGTACTGAAATCCGGGAAGAACACTTTCTCTCGGAGTAAACAGGAGCGGTGGGTAGTCCCCATGTGAAGAATAAGGGAAGTTTCTGAAGGAAGTAGCACGTATACTGAGACTTGCAGGATGAATAGGAATTAACCAGCTGAAGCAGGGTGGGGATGGTTCTAGACAGAGGGAAATAAGACAGAGAATACCATGTCATTTTAAAGGGAGACAATACACTTAGAGCCTACAGCCTGAGAGTTGAGCAATGATTTACAAAGGCAACCTCAGGCATAATCCCTCGGCAAGCAGGAAGGGGAGGAGGCTGACATCATTGGGCACCCACTGGACTAATCCTTTCACAGGACCTTGTTTTATTATACTATCCTCACCACAACTTTTTAAAAACAAAGAAATTGGGAGGTGGATGCTGAGGTACATAGTGATTACTTAGTAAATAATGGTTGCCAACAGTTAAAGCAACAAAAACCAAAAAACCAAAGTCTTTGCCGCCAAGTCAATTCTGACTCACAGAGACCCTAAAGGACAGAGTAGAACTGCCGCATAGAGTTTCTAAGGAGCGCCTGATGCATTCAAACTGCTGATCTTTTGGTTAGCAGCCGAGCTCTTAACCACTACCCACCAGGCTTTGCAATTAAAGTACAGAGTTTTAAAATGATAAATAAATGACACTGTAGCCTGAATGATTTGTGTGTGTGTGTGTGGCTTTAACAAACAGAAATGTATTTCCCCACAGTTTAGGAAGTGTCAAAAACCTAAATGCCCAGAGAAACATCAAAAATTAGCTTAACAAAATATATTTATTGTGAGTAGACATGATTTGAATTGGGCAGCATCAATCCAAACATATCTGGAAGGGGCTCTGAAGAGGGGATAATGAAAGCAGATATAGGTCGTGTTAACTTCTCAGGAGATAGCATCAAAACGTGTGCAGGGTTCCAGGGTCAGTTGGTTGTAGAAACGGTCACTAAGGCTTAGCCGTGCATTTACCAGTTAGACCCTGGGGTTCCTGCTCCTGGAAACTGGCTGCTCATAGATAATTCTCTAAAGGAGCCCAATGCCCAAGGCAATACCATCTCCCCTAAGCTGCTTCCTAGACTATTGTCTGACATGAAGATGACTTTAGGAAAACAGGTCCTTACAGGCCCGGCTACCACTGTTGGACATTTGTGATGGAAAATTCTACAGCAGAATCATGATCAAAAGGGTGGAAATGAGAAAAAGTTTTAATTCTCTTAGAATCCAGATCTCTGGGCCTATGGAGTTGAGGTGACCTACTCAGGCCATTTGCGCTTAGGTATTCTTTCAAAACTTGAGCCTTTAAGGAACTGAAAGCATTTTTAAAAGAACAAAAAAAAAGACATGATGTAAAATCTTTCAGCTAGGTATTTAAAATTATGGCTTAGGTGAAATTCACCATAATCACAGCTCACCAACATAAAGCTGAGAATTAGTAAGGCAACAACTCTCAGATAAAGTCCTGGATAGCAAATAGCTCCATCTAATAGCTATCACTCACCTACTTGTGTTCCCTTACACAGGGTCTCAGCACTTGGCAGCTGTCACCACAGATACCAAAAATACCTTCCAGTGCTTGACCTACTCTGACGAACCAGTTAATAGAATTGCCGTTGACAGTTACAACAAACACAGAAAATCACTTGGCTGTTCCAATTAAAAACACGGAGAAATTTAGAAAAGCAAACAGACTGCATGGAACTTGACCCAACGTGCCTGCCTGAGCTTTTTATTTTTTAAGAATTAGCTTCATCTGTTCCTCACTTACACTTGTGTCTTTCCAAGCAGTATCGATGCCACCCCCCTCCGAGAGCTGACATTCTCTCACAGGGTTCCAAGTCCCACCTGTTTGCATCTGACACAGAAACCTGCAGCTGTAGCTCAAGCGTCTTACAAGTTTGTCAGCTCCATATGTTGCTTTCCTCACAGGATAACTTATTTTCATATGGATAAGTCCAATCCAATAAATACTAACTAACAATTGATCTACACTGGGTCAACCAGTGTAGATCTTCTGAGAGATTTAGAAACCAAGATGAAAAAGACATTGTTCCTGTCCTCACAGAGTGCACAGTCAGATGCCCCACCCCACCCCAAACCCAAGATAACCAGAAATGAAGTTTATCATCTCAACTAACTCACAGTCCAAATAGATATTCTTTTCCAGACTCTCGTAATTGTCCACGGTTCATCGTTCTTCCAACGTTTTGGTCCCGCACACCTTAAATCATGACTCCACTTTGCTCTCTACTTTCAGTTATAAATACCCTGGCCTAGGCTTTCCTCATCTCATACCTAAGTCATTAACAAGAATAAGAGCAAATACGAGCCAATTGACTACTTGATCTCTCCACTCAGATGCCTTTTAAAAAACCAAAACCAAAACCGTTGCTGCCGAGTCGATTCCCACTCATACCAACCCTAGAGGACAGAGTAGAACTGCCCCATAGGGTTTCCAAGGAGCAGCTGGTGGATTTGAACTGCTGACTTTTTGGTTAGCAGCCACAGCTCTTATCCACTGCACCGCCAGGGCTCCTTTTAGGCACCCTAAACTCACCATGACCAAAACAGGATGCCTCTTCTGGCTCCCTAAGCCTGCCGCCCTCACAGTTCCTCCGTCTCAGTCACTAAATAGCAAGTTCACCTTCTCAGAGGTTCAGGCCAAAAGCTTTGCAGTCATCCTGGCCTCTCTTCTTTCTTCAACATGCCATACTCTATCTGCCAGAAAATCCTGGTGATTCTAACTCCAAAATAGAGCCAAAATCTTATCACTTCTCACTATCTCTGCCTTCTGCCATTTCTGCCTAATCCATTTCTGGTTTACTGCAACAGCCTCTTGCCTGATCTCCTCACTTCCGTCTTTGCCTATGTGCATTACTTTCTAATTCAAACACAATAACCTATTAAAACCCATTAGCCTCGTCATGCCACGTCTTTCCCCTTCATTGGAATAAAAGCCGTAATCCTTCCATTGGTCTGAGAGCTTCGTGTGGTTTCTTCCCTACTCCTCTGAGTTTTCCCCCCACCCAGGGGATCCTGCGGTAGTCTTCCTACAAGCTTATACACACTGCCTCCTTGTGATTTGAACATGCAGCTCAGTCTTTTTGGAACGTTTTTCTTCCTGATATCCACATGACGTATAAATGTAGGAGGAGCCTGCTTCACCGCGGATCTGGGGACTCAGAGGCTGCTCTCTTTATCATTTCCCTTTTCCTGGCCTTCACTTTGGCCTAACCCAACCCATTTTACACGGAAGTATCTCTGAATCATCTTCCTCAAGCACAATTATCATAAATCTGTGCCCCATTCCAAAAAACTTGATTTCCCAGCCTACATAAATAAAAATAAAATCTCTTGACTGTTCACTAAATGCTCCTCTTTTTTCTTATCAGCTCAGATTTCTGTCTCTATTTTCATTCTCGTGTTGTCTCTCTTCACATTTAGTTCTCAGCAGCTTTTAAACCTCATTCAACCTTTTACTTCAATGTGGAGCTTTCAACCCTGGCCATGTGATTTACACAAGAATAATTTACAAAAGAAGGTATATTTGATAGAAAGCACTCTCACATTTTATGTTTCTTTCCTTTTTTTTCTTTTTGTTTCTAACTCCACAGCTGGGTATCATCTTTTGGAAGAGTTATTTATTGAGTAATCTCCTAAATCTTACAGTGTCACATTTGCAAATGGCCTCACAGGTGCCAAAATTTCCCAAAGTCAGTTCTGCAAAGGACTAGGGCTAGGCATGCAGGCTCTTAGGGCACTCAGTTTAAGGAGGCTCTGATTCTCAGGTGCTGACACAGCACGTATATGGCCCAGACAGTGAGTGCCTCCTTAAATGGTATGGCCCAGTCGTCTTGATTACCTCCGCTTAGTCTTGGCCCTATAGAGTGCAAATAGAATTCACATCCTCTACCAAATCCTGGGTGAAGGTGCGGAGGTTCTGAATCAAACAGTTTCACTTTCCATACCCATCTTGATACTACTATGCTTTTTAAATCAGCAAGAGAGCGTTATATAAAGCAACGTGCCCCCCAAAATTTGTCTATTTTTTTTTTCCAGTCTTGAAGCATC